CACGCTTTCAATCTATTGCACCTTGATTAAAACCATTTTACCCACAAGTGTTAAACATTTGCTGTGTGTCAGAGCATATCCCGCCTTTCTTGTTCTACCTATTTGCATTTGTTTCTGTGGACGGGAAGTAGCAGTTGGACTGTTAGATAGATTAAGCTACAACATACTGTAAGACAGATACATTTATATATTATATATTGCTCTACATAATCAGTGCTGTGTTCTTATCTTTTTCAGGCGCACTGTCCCAAATTTCCTGCTTGACATTTCTTATCTCCTTTGCCTGAGTCTTTGGAAGTTTGCTTGAAATCTCAGTTGTTCTCAGACTAAAGGAAGGAGAGACAAGTCAAGTCATGAAGCAAGGTAGGGGGTCGAGCAATGATGAAAAAAATAAGGCCAGCTATTCAGGGAATTCGCCTTTCTTTTCAAAAGTATGTCTCCTCACACTGACCAACTCGGACGCCAAATTACAAAGTCAGTCAAAGTCAGCCAAAGAGAAAGGAGAAAAAAAAGAAACCCTCAGAGATACACATACCTCCACAAAGGCTGCATAATGCTCTAAATCTTTTATTCTATTTCAATGATAGAAAATGTTTAGAATTTAATTTTTTTAAGGATTTTTTTTGCCCTTTTTTTGCCTTTATCTGATAGGGACAGCCGAAGATAGACAGCATTTTTTTTTTTTGCATCTAGATCTTAAAGTGCACATAGTAATTGACAATCATGGGATGTACAGTATGTCCCAGATTTTTCTTATCCAAGTAAGTAATAGTTCATTAGAGTAATGTATGAGACCATACAAACCGAATGAGAACCGAGAAATGCTCTTTATGATCAAAATGATTGGATCTGCACAAAAACTGTTTTTTACTTTACCAGGGTTCACATTTCCAGACAAATTTAATTGAAATCTGGTAATAATGAACAACTGCACAATAAACAAAATCCTTTTTTGCAAGAAAAATCTTTAAAAAAAACTAAGTATTTCACTATAGATCAACAGCTGCAGACCACAGGTTGATGTGAGGATAGAATGTGATAAATTGACTGCTACTGGTTCTGGGAAAATAGGACAGCAGCATATGCTGGTTGGTGCGGGTGTTTTGATGCCCATCATACCATGCTAAGGCTAAAGCTGTACTTAATAGTAGTGTAGTGTAGTCAGTAGCTTTGAACTAAATTCTAACATTAGCATGCTAACATACTTACCATGAAAATCTTAACATGCTGATGTTCAGCAGATGTTGCATCATCTTAGTTAGAGTTAGAGTGTTAGGATGCTAACATTTTTTAAATTAGTGTCATTTAGTTTAACCTAAAGCATTGGACAAATGAGAATCAAGATGCTAGTTAAAACATTAGTTCTTAGATTTCATCCTGAGGTGAACATGAATGTATGTGCCAACTTTAATGGCAATCCATCCCATAGTTCTTGAGACATTTCACTCATACCCACAATATGTCAAATTCATGGCAACACAGAAAAATCCAGTTATTGTGTTAAAACCATGAATGTCTGTATCAAATTTGCCAATCCATCCAGTAGATATTGAAATATTTCAGTGAAAAATTGAACATCTGAAAATATACAAAGTCTGTGTTCATCCACTGGGGGCCATGAATGTCTTTACAAAATGTCATGGCAATCCACCTTAATATATCCTGGGATGTGTCTGGATCAAAGAGGTGGACTGACTGATCAAACTTGCCATCTCTAGAACCATGCTCCTAGCATTGCTAAAAGGCAAGAGATTCTCATTAACACAACTTTTGACAAAGTTAAGTTTGTCCATTAAGATGCATAAGGCATGGTTGTTTTTATATAAAACTTTTCCTACGGTATCTGTCAAAAAACTAAAAAGATTGAAACACAAAGAGTACCACCTCTGAGATATTCATTTCATTGGTTCAAATGGAGTTCTGAAGTGAGCTGCGGTCAAATCTCCATCCCAAAGAGGAGTCAATCAGGAATACAAACAGTTTCTTAAACAGCAGAAAGTAAAATGTTTCATCCAGCATCAGATAACAGCCTTAGATCTCTCTCCTCTCTTGTTCCTTTGGTTTAAAGCTGAACAGAACAGTTAGCGAATAAACATTACTTTACTGTGTGAGGTCTTTGGGGTGTTATATTGCATCATCTCCAAGTATTGAAGTTGGCTGAAGCTAAAGAAGCTGCCTCATGCAGATGAGAGATTTGGGTGGGTGATTTTGGCTGCAGTTTTTTAACAACAGCTGCTGTGAAACTTCCCTCTCATCTTGGCGGTTTACAGCCTACACAACTAACAAGCTCATGCAACCCTCTCTTTTTTCAACTGTCATGACCCTGCGTTTAGACTTCATCACCTGAACCAACTAATTAATTTCCTCAGAAATGTCTTCTACTCTCACACCCCTGCTACCATTAGGAGTGTAGCAGCTAAGCTTAAGTGTATTCTAAACCACAAGAATTTATGTATGTAGAATTTAAAACAGACTCCTAACAAGTCACGCTGAAAGGTTGTATTGATAAAATGTAACCTGTACAGGTGCTTGGCACAGATGATACAGTGCTACAAAGTGTAAAATCCTCCCTGTGTAAGCCTTGTAGAGATTTACCAACTTTGGCCTGGGGTCTCTGAAGGTTTGAGCCCATCTCAGACTTCAGATTGAAGGGGAAAAGTATAAAGTCAGATTTATGCCGCTGCTCAAATAAAGTATGGCAGAAGCGAATAGCTGCTGTGATCTGCGGTGAAGACGTGAACCTGTCAGCTGGATGTTAGAAGTAAACCTGGCAGCACTCCCAGCTAAAGCAGAAACATGAATACATCTGAATTAATGACTCAAGTTAGATAAATTTAATTTCTAATTTGTGCTAATTGTTCCTAATATTTGTGAATTAATCCTTAATGCAATTCACATGTATTTCTATTACTAGCCTATTTCAACACCTTTCATTTTTAATCACTCCAGTCCCTTGTGCAGTTAATTTAAAGATTAAATGACTTCTCCTCTTACTGTACCTGATTAGACTTCAATTTGTTCTGATTAGTTTGATTAGATGTTTCCTATCTCATCAAAACTTTGTTGAACTTTTACACAGACCTGAAAATCAACCATATTATTAATGTGCAAAATACAATATTTTCAGTGGACCAAAATGTGGTTACTCTGTCATCAGTCTTTCTAAAGTCAGTACAACACTTCCAAAAACACAATTTTTTGCTGGTATGTTATTTGTCTTTCAAATTAAAGCTCTGGAAAAAGCTCTGAAGCGGCTCTTACTTTATCATGGGACACCAAGTATCCATTAAAATTCAAACTAATGACACACTTAAACACAACACAGACACAAGGTTAGCAGCACGTCAGGGCAATAAGATCAACATTCATATTCAATGTTTGTTGTTTTAACAATAAAAATGTTAGAAACTGATTCTGATCAGGTTACTCGTCAATCAGGCTGTAAAAATAGTTTCAAAATGTCTTCTTTGGCTTTGGAGAAGTCTGAGAAAATAACCCTCATGATGTCATCTGGGTGATTTAAAAGATAAGGACGTTTAACAGACAAGGTAGTCTAATGACAGATGCTATTAAATTGCATTATGAGACATTGTAGAAAGCAGGGCTTATGAAGCTTGACTCATAACAGGGACTCACCCAAGGTTCACACATGAGAACTCAAAACACCAGTGATAGGGTGCCATTAATTGTCGATGGAAATTCTAAGTAAAATACTGATGCCTTCCACCATAATTCAAGTCTCTGAAGAATTATATGCAAATTGCCTCTGCTGCATGGAGCAACAACTCTGAGACCTCCCCCTTGTTTTGATATCCTCTGGAAGAGCACGGCTGTCAGAATTTAAGTTATTAGCTCCAACTCAGGAGACAGGGTGTAGATCTCTCAGCCTCTACTTTCATTTTAATCAATCTATTTTTAGTCTCTCTCAAGAGTCCCCATCTTCATGTAAGTGCAATACTAAAGTGTTGAAGTACCCCTTTAAGAAAATTTTAATCTTCATCTCTGATTCAAAATACTCTACACATGGTGAAAATCAGTCATGCTGATTGGCTGATGGTAGCCATTCTGGAAATTTTAAGGCTTTGTGCAAAGATGCTGAGTTCGAGTTGTGACTACTGAGTTATGATCATCCTGCTGTAGCACCAGCTGTGGTCAAATTGTCATCAAATTTTGCAGGATTATTTGGAGTTTATTTGTTTTTTGTCTGAATTAGCTGAAAGCAGAACAATGTGTTCAAGATTTACGAGAGTTTATGTGAAATAGGCAACACTTACAACTATTTGGGAACTGATTATATTTTTAGGACATATAGGCAAGGATGGGCAATATGATGATATATACTTCGGGACGGTATGAACTTGCCAAAATTAAAGATTTCCGTTTTACATTGTATCTATCCCTTTTATATTTCTGTGTTAAAATATTTTTATATGATTTTTCATCAATATGATTAAGCACCTTGATTTGTCAGATATTACATTTGACAGACTAACCAGATTATTTTGATATTTGTATCCACTGAGTTTCTCAATGGATTGTCCATCCATTCTGTCCCACACTATATAGAGTATATACTGCCTATACCAATAGACCTGTAAAGAGCAAAAAGGGATGTGTTTGTGTTTGTGTATGTGCGTGTGAAAATCAGTGGCGTAGGGCCCCTCCTAACATCCACGTCTATTCATTCTAGTATCTTTGTGGGCCCTCCTCACATGAGGGCCCTGTATCCCCCCAGCCTGACACCCCTGGTGAAAACACAAAGTGAACATTTGTTCAAATCTTGATAAAACAGAACAGACTTTTGGGTGCATTTTTTTCTGTCCATTTCCAAACACTACAGTTAAGAAGAAGCTCATTTAAATTCAACTCATTCGGAGAGAAGCCACTTTAACATTTTATCTTAATAGACTGCAGCCAAGTCTCCGTTGGAATCTAATCAACACCTGTAAAAACTGTTGAATACATTTTCCTGTGAGGGACGTTGGGAAGGCTGTACTCACTGAGGCTGTGTGCAGTCCTGAAGATTACACATTCTGCGGATGGGTTTTGGCTTCTTGCTGGCGTCGCAGTAGCCTCGATGGACCATCTTGGTGTCTCCTTTCTTTCGACATCCATACTTAGTGTACTGAAACCCTGTGAAGGAAGTGAAGGGTTTTTATCATGAAATGTTTGTGTAATCCATAAAAAAGACACAGCCAACATTTAAAGAAATAATCAAATACTATTCAGTCAATGTCCAGCCATTTTCACTAAGGCTAGAAATTAAACTGTATCAAAAAGTACAGAAAGCTTACAATGAATTCAGATTTGGATTCATCTTCTTTATTCTTCTGTTGCTGGTTTAAGTTATAATTTTTCCAATTTTTTTCCAGTACAGAAACTAATTTGCACGACTATCAAAAGAATTCAAAAGACACACAGCCCTATTTGTTTTTCCTTGTTTCACATTAAAAAATTTTTTATTTCATATCAAGACTGCATTGTTATTACCTTCTGTTCAAAATAAAATCTCTTGTTGGTTTTATCGACCCAGATTGATTTATTCAAAAGATTGTTATTATGTTATATGTGTTTATCACAGGTGTGGCGGTGTGTTTTTGGATTTCGCTGCATTTAAAAAAAGCTAGAGATATGGATTGTGTCCAAGGCCAATCACGTTACAATCTTCCATGTTTGTTCTTTGATTTTAGCCTAACAGGGATGGACAAAAATGGCCCTGTATTCTAGGTTTTGTTTTGTTCATTCATTCTTCATTTTGTTTCTTCATTAAATCCTAAAACCCTAAATGGTCTACAATGGTGGTTTATCTCTAATCTGGTTATGCTGCGTAATTTATCACTAATCATTACCGTTCATGCAACAATGACTTCAACTTTTTGAAAGTTTACTGTAGCACATCATTTTAATGTCCTGGAGGAGGATGGGGGCTGGTGCATAATCAAAGTGGGCCCACGACACATCTCTCTGACTCTTGTTTTTGTATAATGGGTGGCTTATGTGGCCCACTGAGTAACCAACCCACTGGGAATCTCCCGGTGCTCCTGTTGGCCACTCTGACTAAGCATGTGTTCAGACGTACAACAGCAGTACCTTAAAAGACACACCCCCCTAATTTATTTCAATTGGTATTTCTGCGAATTTGAAGGCTGCCTACGTACAACAGAAGCAGGGAGTATAATATTCATATAAACATATCTGTAGGAAGAAATTATTCCTCCCTATTGTTTCCTAATTTGATGGTAATTTTTCCATTACCTGCGGAACAAGGTTTGGAACATGGAGACCAGCTCTTGAGAGCCCACTCATATGTTTCCTCCTGGATTACATTGTTGTTGTTGACAGGAACTGAATCTTCATGGATGATGTACTTGTACATTAAAGTGGACCGTGTTTCATTATCCTTGGGTATAATCTGCAAATCAAGGGGAGAAGACAAAACAAAACACATTACTATTATCTTCCATTCAGCATATTTGCATTTAAATACTTAAAGTGCTAATTTGTGCAAATAAATGAATTATGTTTCATTACAAGAGACAGGAGAAAGATTGCCTAAGCATTTTCCATGAACATGACTCAAGGTTCAGAGACAAATATTACATTACATTAATACAGGAACCCTTGGTTGAAGAAAGGACAGGCAATTGTCAAATAATAATAGAGTTCATGCACAAGATAAGACTGAACCCACAGAAACCTCATCTGCTGTTTCTGAGCTTTTCTCTGGATCCAGTATATTTTACAGGGTTGGTGCAGAGTGGATTAGAGAATTCAATTCCAAATGCAAACTGCTGGCAGAATACAGAATACTCTGCAGAAGTACAGAAATGGAGAAACTTGAAAACAGGTGTTGGTGTGGGTATTAGGTTTGAGGGATTAGCACACACACACACACACACACACACACACACACACACACACACACACACACACACACACACAGATTAGAATTATGTAACCATGAAGTCTTAAATAATAGGAATATTCCACATTTGTTTAGAAAATTGTACCTGGAATAAACAACAAGTCTTTATGAAGGACCTTCAAATATAATATCAAGATATGATTTCATGGTGTATATCATATCTTTTATATCATTATATAAAACATACAATAACATGGCTGTACAGTGAGATTAAAATCAGCACTGGAAATACTGAAAGCTGACAACTCATATCACATTCAGTTATCTATTGCAAAAAAGAAATGATGAAAAATAATGTCAACGTGATTTTCAATCATTGTAAATGTTTTTTATTACATAAAAAATATTTTGAGAAAATATCAGAAATGCCTTTTTTATTTTCCTTCCTTCCTAAAAACCCTTTAGCAACTTTCTGTCAAGTCTAGTGACTTTTTGGGCAGACCTTAACTCCTCTCCCTTGAGGAGGGTTGCCAATATCTCTCAGTGAATGTCCTCTCAAGTGGTTGTGGCTCTCTGTACTGTGCTCAGTGGGTTGAGGAGAACAGCAGCATGTTCAGCTGATCAACTGTCAGCCAGGACAGAAACATCAATGAGCTGTGAATGTGTGTACCAACTGACCAGTCATTAAGCCCTAATTTTTAGAGAAACTCCTTCTCTTTGGTTTTCTTCGAATTGAAATATACTTTATTTCAGTGTCTGGATCCTTGTAATTCATGATATTTCAGTTCCACAGTTTATACATCAGCCTAAATAAAACGTTTTGTAAACTATAGGTAGATTTAGACACATATTTATGACTTGGCAGCAGTTACAAAGTTAGAATCTCAAGTTAGTTCATCTTGACTTTGGTCGCATTATGATTTCAAAAATATGTAAATGAGCATTTGATGTAATCTAAAAACTAGCTAGACAGTGTTTTGGTGCTGAAGAGTAAGGACCGAAGCATGCTAAGCATGCCCAACAACAAATTTAAAAGAACATTGTTATTATTATTATCATTATTATTATTATTATTATTGTTATTATTATAATTATTATTATTATTATTATTATTATTATTATTATTTAACATTTATCAATATAACATGTAATCTTTAGGAAGTGTATCTTCCGAGATGGATCAATATGTTCTTATCCTTCAATTAATGCCAAACTGAGTATGAATAATTATGTAAATGTTTCACCAAAGTAGCACAGAACTCATATTTAAAAAGCTTTTGTTTTCTGAAATGAGATTGCACCTTCATTCCTCATCTCATAAGATTGCTTTTCAGAAAAGTACTGTTAATAGGAAAACTGTAAATTAACTTCTGTCAGATCTTCTGTTCTCCTCAGCGTGCTCAAAATGTCTGTACATGTAATTATTACCCTTTCAGACCTCAACTTCACTCACACGTGAATGGCAATTTACAACATCCTATTGCTGTGACACATACGAACTTGGAGCTGCTGTCCCTTGAGAAAAAAACAAAAACAATAATGAGTAATGGGGTGGGGGAAGTAAGATTATATGTGTCTACTCAACAAATGCTTAATGAGAATGGTAATGTATTAAAGACATGAAAAAATACCAGTGTATGTAATGTCTCATGTATGTAAGTCCTCAGAACTGAACTGAGAGACCACTAAACAGAAACAAGACAAAAACCAATGAATAATCCTATTAAAGATATCTATTCTTGTCAGCTACATCATTTAATTACTTATTTAACAAAAAAACTTACAAAACCTTTGAAGTTTCCACGTATCAGATCAAAATCATTTCATGATAGAAGAAAATCTGATTAGCTCTTATTCTACATCATGTTGGCAGATGATGCATAATGATAGCCAGCAGCTAAATTCACTGTTTAATTCTAATTTTACAGGGGTTTTTTGTCTGTCGCTGCTGGCTATGGTTTTATTAGGAATTTGACTCTGTTTTTTTGTTTGTTTTTTTTTACTTTTTTTTTTACTTTTTCTGGTCAGTAGCACTTCACTCACTATAATGTTTTTTCTATTGACCGACAGTGGAGCCCTTTTCAGACATGCGTAACACCAATGGCCGTTTATGTTAAAAGACTTTGTCATTCAGACATATCATCAAATCAAATCAAATCAAATCAAATCAAGTTTATTTGTATAGCCCTTTACAATAGCCGAAAGGTACCCAAAGTGCTTTACAACAGAGCCATGAAACAGTACATAACACATATATAACATACAAATACAATTTAAAGTGCTGCAGCACTGCAGGGTATTAAAAGCCTTCCAGAAATGTACAGAAAGGAGCAGATAAAAAGAGTACACCTCAGAGACAGTACTGTCCTATTCAGAATTAAAAGCTAATCTAAAAAAGTGGGTCTTAAGCTTCGATTTAAAAAGGCCGAGATCAGTAGTGGTACGAATGTCAGGGGGCAGTTTGTTCCACAGTCTAGGAGCAGCGACGGCAAAAGAACGATCGCCCCACTGTTTAAGTCTGGACCTAGGGACTTCTAACAGAAGCTGACCTGAAGAGCGCAAGGCTCTGCCACAATTGCGAAAAGTTAAAATCTCTGACAAGTAAGAGGGGGCCGAGCCGTTAATGGTGTTAAAAACAAACAACAAAAGTTTAAAATCAATTCTAAAACGGACTGGAAGCCAGTGGAGTGACGACAGCACAGGAGTAATATGTTCACGTCTGGACGTGCTAGTTAAAAATCGGGCAGCAGCGTTCTGCACAAGTTGGAGACGAGAAATTGAGGACTGACTGAGGCCGACGTAAAGGGCATTACAGTAGTCCAGTCTTGAGCTGATAAAAGCATGGATTGCCTTCTCAAGATCCTGCCGACTGAGAAAAGACTTCACTTTGGCCAAAAGACGGAGCTGAAAAAAGCTCGTACTGACAACCGAGCTAATCTGTTTGTCAAATTTGAGCCCAGTATCAAATCATATCAATGAATGAATTACAGATGTACTTTTATTTTGCCATTTGAAGCGTTAATGTATGACCATTGTCAAGAGCCAGGCTAGCTGTTTCTCCTGCTTCCAGTATTAATGCTAAGCTAATTGCTTTCAAGCTCTAGCTTCATTTTTTCAGCTAAGAAACGTGACATAGGAGAAGTCCTTTCTTTTCTTTCATCGGAAAAGCTGGAGAAGGTCATTCATACTTTGATCTCCACCATGTTAGATTAATGCAGCTTGCAGTAACTCACTCAGGTCTCAGCAAGAGAAATACCTTTTCAAGTTCAGAGAGCTGCCGCCTGGCTACTAACATGCTCCAAGAGAAGTGACCATATCCCCCTAAATCCTGCACATCACCGGTTACCTGTCAGCCTGATTGGATTTGATTTAGAAAATTTAATGCAGGTTTTTGAAAACCCTGCTCGAACCGACTATGATTGTTAATTGGTATCCTCTGGTAGAGTTTCACTCAGGTTTTGGATCTCAAATATGCAAATTCAGGTTCCTCTTTTAAATCCTTCCTTCGCACATTCTTATCTTTTGGCATTCTCTCCTATTGCGATGCATCTGTTACTGTTTAATACTAAAAGCATTTGAAATAAAATTAAAAAAATCTGTTTAAAAAAGGTTCATATTTATTTTTCGTTTTTAGTTTAATTAATTCAAATCTAACAGATAGCGATATAAAATTAATGAATAGGAGCATAGAAGGATTGAACCGGATGGCTGATCTGCCACTTTTATACAGTGCTCATTGTCAAGCAAATAGCCTTTTAGATCAATTCAAATAAAAGCTTTGATAAAGTAGGAGGTATTATTACCAGAACCACAACGGGGTCATGCAGAGGTCCATCAGTGTGCAGCGTCTCCATGTCTTCCTCGATGATGTAGTGCCACTCCACACCCAAGTCAATGAAGCTTCTAGTCTTGACGTCCTCTCCTTTTCCGTTGAGAATGTAATGCCCCGTTGCCTGGTTCTTGATTGCTGTAATCAGTTATTTGTTAAGAGCCGCTGACAAAGTTGAAATGGCTTTAGTCTATCAATTACAAGTTCTCAAGTTCTGAATTATTCATAGAGAAAGAGAGCTCAAATTGTGGGGTGATTCATAGTCTTTCTAACCCCTGGCAGTTATTTGGAATGATTATACCTAAACATTACGACGTCTGATTCATTCTCTAATTCATACAAAACAAGCTGCCAAACTGCTAATATAATGAAACCTGTCAAAAGTTAGAGGCTGAAATGAAAATGGGCATGTTTAACAGCCACTTTAAATACATCAGATGCATATAAATGCATCCCATGTTGCTAGTTAGTTGCTACAATCACCACGTCACATGTCTCTGCTACAGACCATTTCCTCTGGTGCTCCAGTCTTAGGCTTACACCAGCATTATGCTGAATGATAGCAAGGAGCAAAAAGAAGTAAAAAGTCAGCTGTGTTTTTATTTGATGTCCCGTAGTTAATTCAAAAGCAAACACGACTCAAATTGGTGAATTGTAGATAATGGCTACATTAATTAAAATAATTAGAACAATTTACTGCATCAAGTTCTCTAGCACTGAGCTGTATCTTTTATGATGAGTGCACAAATTTAAGATTAAAGTGTTAGCCTGGAGCAGCAGAGCATAAGATTTTGACAGGTGAGGCCATCAAATGTAACAAAAACGTGCTGTTTTCTTTTAAAACCTGCGCTCTAACTAAGTTTTTAGATTCAAATACATGTCTAGTCATGAAGTCATGATGAATAAATTCTGATTATTTACTGGGTCAGTGCTGTCAAGAGTATATATGAAATATTGACACACTGACAGAAAATAAGAATTAATAGCAGGAAACCTTGAAAGGTAAGCATGTCAGAAAAATCTTCACAGTGATCCATCAACACATGTCATTTCACAGAATAATGACAGTAACAGGAAGGATGGATGCTGTTTACAAAACTACAGCAGAGGAATAGTTCTGAAGCTAAAACTGACAGCTTTTTTTTGAGCATAAGACAATCAAAAAGTGTTTATAAAACATATTTAATTTGTGTTATATCGTTGGTTTAAGTTATATTTTAGAACCTATTCTTCTTTGTTTGTCTACTGTATAAAAAAACAGCTTCTGCAATGGAGAGTTTCTTATTCCAGAGCTACAGGGTTGGATCAAAATAAAGGCAATCACTTCCTGCAGACATTTCTCAGTGAATGATGGAGGTTATTTTGCCTGGCACAGTCCTATTCTCTCCTGAAGCACAGAGCCAATATTCTGCAGTAGCCACTACCATTCACACTGACCGCTCACTGGGCCTTTCAGCTACAAGAAAGGCAGAAGACTGCTCCATCATGGCTGGTTCGAGAAAGTGAAGAAAGAGAAAGACGGCTGTTTGTTACTTTTTTGACGATTGTACCTCATCCTTGCTTATTATTTTATTCATGGCAACAAAAGTCCCCTAACCTTAATGTAGTCATTCAAAGGCAAATTACAATATTAACTAACAAAGTCCTTATTTTAACCCAAACCAAGGATCTTTCTTCTAACGATAAGAAAGTTGTTTTTGTGCCTAAACCTTAACCATAACATACTCTTAGAACATTGTATCTGTATTAGACAAATTAGGTATTCTGTTGTTTAATTCAAAGGAGTTGTTGTTATGAGAAGACAAAGAATGGGAAATTACTTTGTAATTATTTCTGCTGTGGAATGTGTACATATCTTTTCTGATTATAGACTACATTTTCAAGCTTTTTGCAGTTTGAAGGTTCTCTTCAGAGAATGTTCGAATTCTGCACACATAGTACAGCTGGTGCTCCAACTCAGTACGGCTTCATCTTCAAGAGCCACAATACTAAATACTTGAAAACCACTGTAACGGAACAAACTGCTCCCTTTTACAAGATATACATGATCTAATAAAGGCTCATTACTAGCGACAACCGTGTTTATGGTTTGGACATTTTGAAATAAATCCCCACGGATTACTGGACTGATTCCATAAAATGAAATTCCCCTGGTGATACAGAAGCACCATAAGTCTTAAAACTTTAAACCAATATTATAAGGATAAGGCTGGTGATATTCTATATTTTTCGTAATGTCAGGAAATTCCATGAAAAGCCCAACACCAACAAAGAATTGAAAACTACTAACAGCATTGCCTGTGTTGCTAAAGCCTAGATTTCCTTTGTTGTTCAAAGCATATCAACGAGCCACACTGTTGCACTGGCTGACGTTTATTACCTTGAACACACACACACACACTGCAGTTTGTTTCGACTGAGGACCACAAACTCTGTCCTGCTCTTGTAAACACTCATTAGAGCACCAAACTTGGAATATTCTCGGTCTGAAAATAGTCCCCAACAAATGCATTATTTACTCTAAAACAAAATAATGTTTGCTAAAACGTACAGCGCCCAGCTGCTCAGGAAAGTGTTTTTTAACAATGAAATGATATTTTCAGAGCTTCTTTTAAAGATACATATCTTCGTGGGAACCAGTGAGATTGCGACAGAGTGGAAGAGAGAAGCAGTGAGAGCTATTAAGACATGGTTGGTTTTGGTCTTATTGTAATAGCTTTTGAAAAAAGGAAAAATACAGAATAACACCAGCTTTATCCTTCAACCTCCCAGACCAGTACTGTCTGTGTAAATAAAGGCCTGCTGTACCCGAGGGGCTTGAATCTCCACTGATGAGATGTCTGTTGCTACATTATTCGGGTAATGCAGTTCAGTTTTATGAAACAGCTAAAGTTAATAGGCATCGACCTCTTACCATGGCTCAGCTGTTAAAAGAAGTTGATGAGGCTGTTTCTGAAAGGTCAATCTTTTTTTTAAAAAGTGATTAAGCTTTCACTAACAGTAACAATTCATCAAGTGTGAGGTTGCTACTATTACTTGCAATTTTCTTCCATGAAGTTGAAAACCTAGTAGTTTGTACAGAAAGCAAATAGTTTATTGATGGATAGTCTGAGACAACAGCCTTTCAAGTCAACTTAATTGCTTAAATGGCCCCTATGCATTTTCTTTCACAGGTCTTTCACACATAGCTCAAAGTTATAAATCTGCCTGCACAAAAGGACAAATATGCCAGACATTCCTGATTTTAGTCCCATTTGCAGTTGCATGCGTATCAATACATGCATACCTAAAATAACTACCTAAACCTAAAAGATAATATAAATAAACCTTTTTCTTTCTTTTGTAGTCCTCTTTCTCATCATATATGACATAAAAATCAGTGTTGCTTAAGTACATCTCAAAACTCCCTAGAATTACCTGCTTGAACATCAGTGATTGAGTCTGATTGGGGATTGAGCTGGAATACTTCCTCCTGTCTATCAAAGCTTCAACCACAGTCAGGGGGAGACAAATTAGGGGTAATGACCAATTATTCTGAGCCTCTGATGGCATCATTTTTCATCGTGTTCAGCAGGGGTCAACACCTTGTGATAAGGCTTTGAAACTCATCACACTGAACCTAAATTTGATTTATTGCATATGTAAAAAAAAAAAGAAAAAAGAAAAAATGTGATTGTCACTATATCTCGGCAGTTAATGAACAAAGGTGTGAAGTGGAAGAACACGCAACAGTTTTAATATCAGATAATAATCCCAAAGCAGGAAATAAAAAGACAATCTCCATGGCTCACTTCATACATCACTCCCATGCATGCAAAATAGTTACTGACATAAAGGATGCTTTCTGATTCCCCAATCAATTTCACAACAGTTAAAGTCCCCTGAAGCAAATTTGTGATTTTGGGCTTCATAAATAAATACTCAGAAAGGGTAAAAACTATCTTATTCCAAAGCAGGACTTTTTAATACATATGTGACAAAGTTCTCTTGAGAAAGATACAATTTAGTGTTTGTTAAACCCTTTCCCTGAACAGCAATTGTCCACTTAGCAGCTGTAACTAGGCACAGCAGTCCTGCCAAGCTTTGAATTTCTCCACATGCTTAAGCGGTGTGTATGGGACAATATTCAGTGATGTTTGGAGTGGGTGGCATATCGTTAGCTAACTAAATCATTTTTGAGAGGAGTGCAAGTAACGTTAGAGAATTCCAGCTATATATCAGAGTTTAGGGTAACAGCAGTTCTGTTCTGCTCTTTATGTGATTTTGGCTACTTTAGCCAAACTTGTTACTCAATATAGTGTTACAATTGAACATTATACTCTATTACTGAAAGCACTTCTTTGGTTCCTGGTACAATACAGAATCACGTTCAAAATCAAGTCAAGCTTATATTCTATTCTAACTTGCTCACTGATTATAACCCTGTCAGGCATCTTAGTTCATCGGGCGAAGGTCTTGTGGCTGTGCCCAGAATTAGATCCAGGTCTGGTGAGGTTGCCTTCAGTTACTGTAGTCCTGCTCTCTAGAACAAGCTGTCTGCAAACTTCAGGTCCATCACAGCTGTGTCCACAATAAAGAGCAGACTAAAAAACCTTCCTGTTTACACTGGGGTATGCTTAGCCACTATGTAGTATGTATATATTGGTGTATAGGGTGGGTTTGATTGTATTGTCTTTTAATGTAAAGCACACTGAGTTTACATGCAATGAAATGCGCTCTATAAATAAAATAACCATTTCCATAAACATATTTATTTTAAAATAAATAAATTCAGTTGAGAAAATGACAACAACTCTCAAATGGTACATCTACTGTAGTTTTCATGATAAACTGCATGAGGTGCCATGCAAAAACATTAAGCTTGAAGGGCATTGCAACAGTAACTAAGGGGGACAGGGCGTAGCGAATAGTAAATCCGTACTTTTTTGGAGAAAAAAAAATGCCATAATAAATTACCCGAAAAAAGACATCTTCTACAAATGTTTAAAAGCTCATTCCCTGCAAGATTGAGTTTAACTGAAGCAACACAGAGCCAGGAATGCATCATTTTGTAGATCTTTAGACTTCAGATCATGTTTTAGTAAATATATTGCAAAATCAGACAGGCCTACCACCAATTCAGGACTGACTAATGCCTCTAAGGTTGATTTATACATTCTCAGACATGTTATTGGAGTTTTCAGAGAGAAATTGTACCAATATTTTCAGATTTTTCTTGTTTTAGTTATGTAGGACTTTTAGCTTTTTCACTTCGCTCCTCCACTATTCTAACTATGTCTATAAGAGTCTGTCTGTCTGTCTGTCAGATAAATAAGTTGAGCCGAAATGATAATCTTACAAAGAACTCTTTGAAAAATTCACTGCCTCTGGCTGAGGATATCGATGCAGACCTGTTTCCCCTATACTGAAGAAATCATGCTTTCCTCGGGTCACTCACAGAACAAGAAACAAAAAGATTAGCCACCTCTTTCATTCTTTCAATCTTCTGTCTGACAAAGTCTTTGTAGGGATCCTGTTTGTTAACATTAATTAAAATTGCATTAATCAGTATTTCTTATAATAACATTGCATAAAATGAAAACTTTGAACACAGACAAAGCTAGAAAGTAGTTGTAGAGTTGACACTGATGGCGTATATATATACTGTACCAACAAATCCTCCAAGTTAAACGGCAAAATACATTGTATGTCCATATAAAATGATCTGACACTGCTATGGTTAAGATTTGGCTAGGTTCAGGCACAAAACCTACTCACCTAGGGTTGGGGAAAATATCAAAGTTTACTATAAAATAATTACTTAATTAAGATATAAATAATAAACACTTGGTTTAACATGGGGAACGACTTCCTCGGTGTAGGAAAAAAGTTGACTTTTACTAATTTTGTTTCTGTTTCTTTTACACAGTAAGTTTACAAGCCAACAAGGCTACCAAAAACTAACCTTTATGTCGTCTTTGTTGGTTGCGTAACCCTTTGCCTTGCAGGTCGTAGCAGCCTTTCAAAAGTCAGACATTGCTGACACATTTATGAAGCCTGACCACCCCCTTCTGTGGACTTTGTGACTCTATATTAACGTCACATTTCATTCTCCTTTGTTCTCAAAGGACAACAGTCATAACTCCTATAGCGACTGGGGGTCTTTGTCACTTGAACGTAAACATATGTGAATATTGGGTCTTTGCCTGCAGCAGGTCAGCTGTTGTTTGTCTCTACTGTACATATAGATCACGGTTCCTCTCCTACGACTCTATGCCACTGTTCAACATGTTCTAGACAAGATCCTGCAGAGGTTAAATATGAATATAAAGATATTTCATACTGACTTATTAAATTTTTCTATTATCCTGGTCATAAATAATGCTGAATTCTTCTGAATATGCTTGACTATGAATTCACCTCAATGTGGTAAAAAAATCTAAATAAAATAACAGGAAGAGAACCCACTAATCCAGAAACCTCTCTTTAATAGATTGATGAATAATGAATGAGCAATATGTAATTTTCTCCGTCTGGGAGGTGACAAGGAATAAATTATGCCAAGTCTATAATCTATGATTTTACAGTATATGTTCCCATTAGTCTTCCAGGGACACATGAGGAGGATGGTGATCAGCTATGTTTAGGCATCCTCTGATTTCATTCATGTGTTTGTGTGTCACACTTACCAAGAATTTGAGGGGAGGCCTCATGTTCTTGGATGATCACATGTCTAGCTCCAGGAGGAATGAGAAACATCTTAAGGTAACCTTTGCCAAGTTTGTTGCAGCAGCGGCAGAAGCAGAAGAGGGGGGTTAGGAAAGATAAGACAGAGACAGGTAAGTTAAGCAGATACAAAAATAATCTGTTTGTTTGCAGTGGTGGACATCACGCATGTTTCAGAAGTTTTGTTCACTTTGCTCTACAAAGAAGTTTGAAGGAGTTTCAGGAAAAAAAGCAAACGTTAAATGTCTACATCAGCCTTTGTCCTCGCTGTTAAGCCTGCAGGTAAAACTTTCATTGAAACAGGCCATTCATGCACATCCATTTTTTGTGTCATCAAAGGAAATATCAATATGGTCCCTCAAATGAAGTACAACTCCTCTTCCTTTGTGTTCATATTGATTATGTGTATACAGGATGTGAATGAATGGAGTCTTCAGCCATGTTTCAATAAGGCACGAGTAACAGATTTTTCAGACTATAGGGCACCTTCTGTCAGGGATGTCCACCGCTTACAAACCTACTGTGACTCACCAAGTACATTTCTAGAGTCTTCCGTTTCATTTAAAAACACATTTCGAGCTCCTTTCGGCAAAGAGAAGGCTCCTCTGGTCTTCCCTTCAAAAGGAAATTAATCAGTTAGTTAGTCTCGCAGTGTCTCCTCACTTCTCCATTTCAGCACCTCACTGTTTCTCTGCAAGAACATCACCTACAGTGGAGTCATATTTAATTAGCATTGCAGGGATCCGAGGAATTCAAATCGGATCAGGAGACAAACTCTTTTTGCTGGCAGGGTGGTGCTTGCCAATCACCAGGACTGAACTGCAGCCGTGTAATTACTCGCCCTTAGATTTGACAGGCAGGTCCAACACTCTGGGCCTGACGCAGATGCAGCGCTGTCACTAAGGTGATTATGAATGCAACTGGCACAGTGTCACAGGGTCCACACAAGGTTACAGACAGGTAGCAGAGTAGCTGGTGCTGCTCACTCTACAGTATATTGAGGACCTAAATTGCAATCTAACTTTTGGAAAATGGCAAAAGAGGCCCTTTCATGTCTGAGAGAACATCCTCTGATGGCAGCCAATTTCAGAACCGCAAGCCGCTCGATAGAAATTACAATTTGATTTCAGAGTTTTTGGCAGACTAATAGGAAACACTGCACACAATCTAGTTGTCTGAAGACCCTTTGGGTGTGGATGCTTGGGCTGAACTGAGCATCAGCATGCCAGATGAGGTTAAATCAATCAAATTGTGGCCAGCAACATCCCAGATTGCCTCCAAACGTCTGCAAGTTTGTTTAATTTGACATTTTAATCTGCACAAGACTTTCAAGTTAGTTTGTTAGACTGTTGAAGCAACTGCTCAGGTGACATTTACATTAAATCACTATACATATCAAAAATAACTTCTTAGAGAGTTTGAGAGACTTGACTGGGTAATGAGCCTGTGACAGCTGCAACAGTCGAGTCAGACCTAAATAGACAATTAGTAAAAAGGAACAGAAGAAAGAGCAGCTTATATCACTCATGTCTCTAGGTCTCTAGGGTCAGTGTTAGGCATCCATCTGCACTACAAGCTGGACAGAAAATGCTAGAAAAGAGGTTGGGAGGGATTCAGTAACACTGGATACTTGCATATTGTGTTTTCCAACAAAGGGGTTTCTTTTTGGGCTCTCTTGCTTAACTGTTTCCCTGTTAAAAAATGTGAGGGGTTAAATGAGAATGAGTTGTTAAGGGGAAAAAAAGGAATGATTACAGTTTCAACAAAGCACATTCTGAAACGGTTTGATGAAGCCGTCATGTCCAGGTTCTCAGCAAGTCCATTTTCATTTTCTCTGAAGCTCATTATTGACTTTATGACATCATGATGGCATCGAGAAACTGTTAAAAGTAATTCTCTTCATGCTAAAGGTTAATGTGAAGACACACCACTTACTCACACACACTAATTCAGCGTAACACTGTGCAGTGTAACACTGCGCAGTGGGTGAGTTTTGGATTGGCAGGCAAAAAATCAGTGGACCAACTTGTTCTGGTGTTTGGTGTTCTAATTTTGTGTGTGTATGTGTGTGTGTGTGTGTGTGTGTGTGTGTGTGTGTGTGTGTGTGTGTGTGTGTGTGTGTGTGTGTGTGCCCCATGTAGCTGCAAAGGGGAGATTACCTAAAGGAAGCAGCGTGAATCAAAGACGTTGGTATAAAGCAAAAGGACAATTTGTTAATGAACTTGCAAGAATGATTTGAAAATGAACTATATGAATTAATAAATAAAAGAGGGGCTTAATTATTTCTCTGCTAATTAATAAGGGTCGTAATCCAAATGAACGTGACTGTTCGGATACTCAGCACCTTCCCTATAGACTCATTTATTAGCTATGAATGCAAATTTTACTTGTGATCAAATAGAAATGATATGGAGAGCTACAGGAGGTCGAAGCACATTCCACAGATCTGTGCTCCCATGCAAATATGTAATTCTATGACAAGACTGTGTTTCACATGTGACACAGCAAAAGTGATGCAACCAATCAGAGCCAAGAAAGTTAGAAAGACACTTTGTGCTGGTGGCTTGAAGACAGTTGACTGTTAAGTCTCGACCTGGGAATGAGATTCAACAATCAACTGTCTTCCTTGGCTCTGATTGTTGTTTTGGTGTTGTTAACACAGTTTACCAACTACGCCCATTTGAATATTTATCTTTAAATGTTCTTTAAATGGCTTTTTTAATTTATAAAAACACATTAAAATATGTTTTATCATGTTTAAATAATAATTCATGCAATAGAGGGTTGGCTGTTCATAAAGTTTTCTATGTAACTAAAACTATACACAGGTGTCAGGGGGTTGTATCCACCTCCTGCATCCTGCAAAGGCAGATGAGTGACATTGATGCAATCATTGTTCCTTTCTCATTGACTGCCTAAAGCTCATTTGTAGTCAGTATGATCTCTTCCTGGGGTTATTTTCGTATTTGCTCCTAGCTGTAGGAATACAGTGCAGACTCAACTGCCAGCACTTTCTCATTCCATAAAAATATAGATGGTTAAACTTATTTCAGTCTAGCTGCACCTCAGTGAGCTCTTTCCTAGTTCTCTCTCTCGGTAGTTTACCACACAAATCTGAGATGTGGAAAATGGAAAGATGCTACGACAAGCCACTCCAAGCTTTTTACATTATGTGCAGTTTCTCACTGAATCAGTACACTGAATGTACTCTGCAAGAAGAGGAATGTTTTTTGGTCCACTTCAGCCTTATTAAGTCACAGGAGTAACAGCTACTCTTTTCAGAAATCAGACTTTGTTAGTAGGGGGCACTTGCAGATGTTAAAAGAGCCAGTAAAAAGCTAAAAATGAATACTAATTTGTGGTGTGCTGATAATGAATGAATCGACTAATCAAGATTTGTTTTTCAGCACTTGCCACTTTGTTTTTTTAAGCAATGCTTAAAGGAGTGTTGGAGGAGGAGAAAAACTTTGCCCCACATTTAATTTCCTTAAATTAGTACCTTTCAAAACACAAGCCTATATTATATATAAGATATCACATGATGTTTTAATTGCTCTGATTTTATCTGCATTGTCATAACATGTAGAGGAAATAGTGAAAGCTCTTTTTACTTTATGTTTTGGATTTCTTTAGCATTGCGCCGCACCCTCCTCATTATCTGATATTTCTCCAGCTAGACCTTCTAAACAGAGCTCGTGGAGGTCTTTTGCTGGGCAATAGCGACATTCATAAAAGAAATTAAGGAAAAAAAAAATGTGTGACAGTAGAACTGTAACACAGAAACAGGAAACTAATTTATATTGAAGGCACTCATACTATATTTTCAAGTACACTTGAGTTAACTTCACTGATTACTTCTTCACTGGGTACCACTAGACAGGCTATGAAGGTACCATAGAAACAACCCTGATGCTTTATTCTACATTACCCGATAGATCACACAGGTGAAACTAACTAAGCCATGGGTTGAACTGTGAATAACAATTTCTATATTCGTTGATCATACTTCCTTGTGTTAAGACCAGTTGCTATTAGGCAATGATGATCAGTGTCTAAGGATAAGGCTGGAGCTAAGCTATTTTTGTCTAACTGTCAAATTATTGAATTCCTATTGAATGATAACTGACCAAAACCAATAATGAATGTATCCTACTAACCAGTATGGTCTGTGTATTCAAACCGGGATATATCTCCTTCCTCTGTGCTACAGAGCTCCACTGTTAAGCAAAAACAGTTAAAACACACCAATGAGCCACTGTTGCACTGGGTGATTTGTTCCCTCATTTTGATCAACATGTATTTTATTTTGACTTAATAATCCCACATACGTTGTCCTAGTGCTTTATACTGCTAGAGTAACTGTAAAGATTAAACTATGTATTTGTAAGCTATTTTTGTTTAGGGCCACAGTGCCAAAGTCAGGGTCAGAAAGGTGTGAAGAACAGAAAAGTGGAAAAATGCATTGTTGGTTTTGGTCCTGACAATAGAATAACACCAGCCTTTATCCTTACTGTGTAGAATCACAGAGGGGAAAATCAATAATCAGTTATGGACAGATATGAATGTGGTGTTTTGATATAGTTCAGTTTGTACATTTATATATCTCTTTGGACAAAAGCATCTGCCAAATGAATTAACTGAAATGTAAATGTACAGTGCAGTATGTATATGTCTAATTAAGGTTTATCATTCTCTCACAGTGTATTATGGATTATAAACATTCATTATTGATGACAATCTGCATCCATGAGAAAACTGTAGTTGAGAAAACATGCAGGGAAAGAACTGGAAGAAATGTAAATATGTTATTCATATTCTTTGTGAAACTTTGTTTTAAAAGAGTTCTGTCTGCAGACCTTAAGTTAGTACTGGTTCCAAGCGTCTTACCAGCTTTCTTTGGTGTTCGGGTGAAGGTTCCTTTAACGGTGCGGCAGTGGGAGTTGTCCCCACCACAAACACCACATTTGTCCTCAACTTTGTTAGAGCCAATCTCTCTGTCACAGCCAACTTTCTGGAGACCAAGAAAACATATATACTGATGAGCTGACATTCTTTTTGGTCTTAGAACTGTAACATTCACAAGGTTTTAATGAGAATCTGACCTGTAGGAATCGGATAATCAGTGCTGGGTGCGCAGTCAGAGGAGTCATGTCCTCACACATTTATACCATTTAGACACATTGAGTGAACCTCGTGGTCAGCTCAGTCAAGGATGTGATGTTTTAGGTATGGTTTGTTTTACAGGGTTTGTCTGTTGGGCAGCAGGATATCTCAAAAACGTGTACATGAAAAAAAGCTGCAACAGCAACTTGAGATTCTGAGTCTCTGCTTTAATTAATTTATGTTGTTAGGCGGTCTTGGGACATATTAATAGTAATGAATCAAAACATTCTGAAAAAGCTTCTCCTGCATAATAATGCTGCTTCTAAACCAGCTGTGAGCAAGCAGCACGTTCAAAGTTGAACCTGATAATGATTGTGCAGCTTTCCAACATCACACTGTGTAGTTTAATGAAGTCCTGCAAAGCTTTCAAAATCCAAATAGCCTGCAGCCACATATGTGCATGTTCACCTTTTAATATGTCAAAATTGTTTAAACACGTCCTTACCACACATTCTCCACGCACGCAGATACTGTAGGCATCTTTGTAGGAGCATCGTGTCCCATCATGCACCAGCTGCTTCATGTATGCCACGTCTCCGGTCTCCTTTGACTGGCAATACAAGTGGCATCTCTTGTTGGCTAAAAGACACCAGATTATTAGATTGTAGAATTATTAGGTAGAAAATGCAACTTGGAAAATCAAGAATATTATGAAAAGTAAATAAACACAGTAAGCCTTCACCTACTTCTGTCAGATTGTTTATGTTTCTAAACCAAGGCATTCTTTTTTTAAACTGGCAACTGCTAGAATGACCTAACTTTTGAATCTTTTTGTCCAAAAGACACACTTTGACACTGTTGTCTCTGCAGCTATTACAACAACAATTGTTCATTAATACAATGACATTAACAGTAAAATGTGAATTCACACTAATAAATTACCTTGTATAAAACCAAATGAACTTTCTTTTGTACCTTATACTTTATTATCAACTCGTACAACACTATTTTGAACTTACCTTACCTTACCTTTCGTGGAACAATCAGTTCCCACTTTACCATCTTGCCTCCCTGCAGTTTCTCAGTAGGTTTTCCTACTACTTTTCTATATGACTGACTTTCAAAAGCCAGACCAATTTAGGTGCAGTAAGCGGCTAATAGCTCCATGGAGCGAAGTCGGACAAAAGCAATGTCTGATAAAGAACAAAAATTGAAATAGGATACAAGGTTTTGTATCTGCACTGTAGAGATCAATCACCTTTGCAGAAAGGGCACATTTAGAGCTTGGATGGTTTTAAACTCGGCATATTGACACAGTGATGGGAGACCAAAAGAAAAAGAAAAGGCCTTTTCTTTTACAGAAACTTAAAACAAGAAAGGACCAGACACAAAACACACTTGAAATTTTTTTCTTTTACACAAAAGGGTGTGGTCAGTATGTTGAAACGGTTGGGAACATCCATTGTTTTTTAAATACGTAACATCTTTCTTCAGTTCTGGCTGGGAGAATACAGATCCCCTGCTAGTGTCTTTCATTTTTGTTTTTGGCTGAAACAAACACACTAGCCTCACACTAAAACAAAACAATCTGTCATTATTCTGGCCTACCGTCGGGATGCTCGTAGGGCAGCCAATGGTGTTTGGCATTTTGGAACTCAAAGTGGGAATTGCGGAGCTGGCACTGCTGAGCTCTGAAATCTTCGAAGTGCTTGGGGCAATCGTCAGTGTTGCACAGCTGATACTCGTAGTTTACTCCTGGGCAGTCCTGGCCACCGTTGGAGGGTCTGGGGCAAGGAAATGGATGAACATCAGAGAGTGATCAGACAGTGTGCTTTTCTTTGAAGACAAGAATCTGAAAACAAATCCTGCTCATGAAAGGAAGCTAAAACACCAAGAAGCTTTTATGACAGATTGGGGGTATTTCTAACATTGCACCTGCAGTCTGGGCAAAAATGATTCAGCCTCTTTAAAGCCATGTGATTTGTCTCACTCTATCAAGGTGTTGTTTTTTGTGGCTTACAAATGCAACAAATTGATCATTACCACAACCACACATTAATAGTAGCCACCAATAGTGATTCATTTACTATATATCTTACAAATTTGACTTCTTTATTCTTAATTTGTAATAATAATGTTTGACCACCATACGTTGTAAAGGTCTACTTACAATATTTAAATCTGATCATTTACTGCTGAGAAGTTCTTCTTTGTAAAGACACATAATATGTTCTAGAGGGAGAAGCCCAAGAAACAGCATTAAAGGGGAATCAAACCAATTTTACAACTAAAAGTATTTTTCCAGATGTGAAAAAAAGTTGCACAAAGTTTGCCTTAAGTGACGTCACTTCGGTTGAGGCTGAAAATGAAGTGAGGTTCTCTATTTGTTCCAAATGGCAAATGTGTCTGATCAAACATAACTCGAGATCGATACCACTCACGTCTGTTTGATAAAAAATAAATAAAAAATGGATAGGGAGTAAACATTCACAATAGCAGCACCCTGACTCTGTTTGACCTGAATGTAACAGAACCTTAATTAGTATCATTGGTAACACCTGTGTTAACCCTACTTTTTCAAGTCAAAATGGCTGCTGTGAAAAAAGGTCTATCTTCTCATCTAACTCTTGGCAAGAAAGTAAATAAATACTAGCGATACTATAATATATTAAACTTTAAGTTGAGGAAACTAAAACTCATTGGTTAAGGTTAGGGAAGCCACAGTCATGGGAAAAGTGAGAAAAACACTGCTGTCATGTCACAGTTGAATGTTGGTGGTCTGAGATGGGATGTAAACTGCGGCCTGCTCTGTCACATGCTTTGTTGAACCCACCAAGATCTATATAAAATGCTACAAACCACCTTTGGGGGAAATTTTGTTGACATGTACTTTGATTTTTTAGTTTGGCCCATGTCCTGTCTGCTAACATGGAGGCAGCGGCTTTACTGCAGTCAGCCACGGTTGATCAAGATGTCTTGGCTTCACTTTTGGAGAGCTGTCATGTTGTCCATATATGTCGATGGCATAACGACATCACGCAACTTAGAGAGGACAGTCATTACTCTGAAGACCGCAAGACGTTGCAAAATTATCAATAATAACTGCAATTTAGATTTAGTAACCTCCATTATTTCATTACTTAACATGTATGATGCCTTGCAGAATCAAATCACGTTTTTGTTACTTTTGCCACTTACGCTGGGTTGTTGCACTGACGTGTCCGAAAGCGAACTCCAGTTCCACAGGAGCGTGAACAGGAGCCATATTTGCTCCAGGAGCCCCAGGCACCGTCTTGCTTGACCTGATTAGGGTTCTTCCACATGCAGTGACCTTTGTAGCACCACTACAGAGGATGACAGGGTTGAAGAGAAAGGAAAAGCAAGCCAAACACAAAAGCTTAATTTCTAGACTCAGGAGGCGATAATACAGGTTAAGAAATGCAAATATGGCCGGTCAGGAATTTCTATATACTTTTGGTCTGAGGCTGTCTTAGGCTAAGCTCCTTGGTTCCAGTTAATGGACATTCTTACATTAAACAATGATATTTTAGACAACAGTGTGCTTCCAACTTTGTGTCAACAGTTTGGGGAGAGCCCCTTCCAGATGCCAAAAAAGGTTTTCCATTTCGGTGTGGAAAAACTTGACTGGCCTGCTCAGAGTCCTGACCTCAACCCCATCTAACACCTTTGGGATGAACTGGCACACGTACTGCAACCAGACCTTATCACCCAACATCAGTGCTGGACCTCACTAATGTTCTTATAGCTGAAGGGGAGAATATCCCTGACGCCAGGTTTCCAACTTACCCTGTTTCTACAACGTCTTATCAACCTGTTAATCAGCTCTGTCTCCATGCACTTTTTTAGGGTGTCTACATACATTTGACCATGTAGTGTCATATGAAATAGGAAAACTTACTTTTCCAGGAGCACACTCCGTTCCATCGAGAGGTGGCCCCTTCTTGGTTTTGCAGAAGTAAGGGTTGTCAGGGTGACTGCACCACAGCTGTTTACATGGGTCAAATGTGCGAAACTGAAACACAGAAAAGAGGAAAATTATATGTTAATCTACAGTAAGTGAGTTAGCATACTGTATATGGAAATTAAAGCATATTGTGAAGCATAACCCAGAAGCTGAAAGACAGAAATGGACGTCTTCTGAGAAACTATTCTGAGGCATTGCATTACAACAGTGATCTCAAAGAAAAAAATCCACCTATGGCATAAAAAAATACCTGCATTAAGACTTGCATAAAAACAGAACATTATTACCCACTATACACAGATGCAATTAAGGTAGTATTGTGGATTGTGGTGCTTAAAATGTCATATTATATGTCTGATAGAAGAGGCAGATTTACTAAAAAAGAAGTATGCAAGTATGCACAGTCACAATCTGATAGACAGCTGAGACCTTGTAGACCAAATTGTTGTTTACAGGTGTTAGAGGCTCCATTATCAGAGGCACTAAAGCTGAGTGGATTATGAAGGTTTTCTTTTGGAACAGCTTATTGTTAACCTCCTCCCCAGAGATAGTGGTCAGGTGTTTTTTTTTCAGGGATTAGAACAGATCGTCAGACTGATTTGAGAGAACTCAAAAATGACCCTCTCAGCTGCCTGGAGCATCCCTGTACCAAGAGGTTTTGTGAACAACATGAGCCCTAAGATTACCCTTTACAGCTCTTCCTTTCAGCAGGTCGAGATTTATCTCTCAAACTGGTCAATCGCTTTCCTTTTCTGACCGACACTGTTGTCTCAGTAATGAAGCTCTTTCTCATCTTCAGCTTATTCAGAATCAAGTTGTTACTCTTAGACACAGAACCAAGGAGAGAGATCACTCTACTCCATTATAATGTAATTATTGTTATTAAATCCATACATTTAAGACATCTATTATTTCCATATATTGACTTTTTTGTGCTAGGCGCTAAAGTTGCTGAAAATGTATATAGTCATGCATTTTCTTTTCCTTAGTTTTTTTAATTGTTATTTTACACTATCTGTGTAATTATTGTCTTGTATACTACCTACCATTGCTGTAGCAGGGCCTCAACTTCCTGAGATGATTTTATTACTATAGCAGATCTTTCAACCACAACCTACCCTAAGTGTACTCACTCTTTTTATATATTTCATACTGGTTTTCTACATAGATATTATGGATCAGCTTAAAAATTAATCTGGTGTCAATGCTGAAAACCCCCAGATTGCTTTCAATAAACACAATTATTCATGTCAATTTGTTCTCTATCTTATAATATCTGCACATGGCAACTGTAGAAGGTTAGGGAGCAATTCTGTTTATGGCAAATACATTATGGTTTAGGTCAAGGTTGGCTTAGCAGGCAAAGCATTGCAGCAGGGCCCCAGTTCACCAAGGGCCCTCAAAAATAATTAAAAGAAATTTCTGAGAATGTGAACCACTAAAGCAACTGACATGATAAGGTCCTAAGGTTGGTCCTGTTCTATTAAACATGGGACCATATATTATTCTGAGAATAATATACACAATGAACAGGGAGAGAAGGAATGGATGGTTGACAGGAAACAAATTCTGGTTTTCTGCATGAAAGTCATATGCACTAGACATCCATCCTCAATCAGGAATGATTTAAATCAGAATGAAAAAAAGTGCATGTAGCTGCAGCTGATGTTGGCACTGGATGTCATTGCTGGAGTCTGACTTACTTACAAAATTCATCCAAATCTGTTACATTCCTGGAAAAGATTTAAACTGGCCATCAGCAGACAATCAGCATAATTGTCTATTGTTAGGTGTAATTTGATGCCTTGTTAGAGGCATTTTAAGGTCTTTGATTGATTTCTAGTTAAATCTGTCATTACTCAGACAGCTCTTTAATCATATGTATTATAAATCTTTGAGTTCCTTACTATATGCTGGTACTTCTGAGAGAACCCAGTTTCCCTTCCACTTTCAGTAAAACTTCTTTCCATCTATTCAGTAAAATAATGCCATGATGCATGTTTATACTAACAAATAATTGATAACCTATTGGTGTTCAGTTCACTTAGACAGGGGCCACTGATTTAGAACTACATCCTCTGTCTAGCTCATTTATTAGGACTTGAGATTAATATGACTCTTCAAGCATGTTGGCTACAGCCACATCTCCTTGTCCAATCTTGTTCAGTTGCTCGAGCGAGTAACTCTTTCTTTGCTGAGGGACACAAGACATACAAAAAGACTCCAATAGGCTGTGGTATAAAATTGCTCTACAGCGGCCCCCATTACTCCAACTGCGACTCTGGCACTCCGTTTTGTTCACATGTGGTACCAGCAGAGGAGTCTGGGTAACTGACTGCTCAACAGCTCCTGCATGTCGGTCACTTCAGGCTAACTAGGGAGGCTGACCTCAATTGTTCAGAGATTGCAGATGCTACAGGACTAATACTCCATGGTGAAAAAAAGAATGTGATATATTTGGTTATGACAGTGAAAATGACCTGACCTGACATCCTGTTGGACTTAATTAGGAGTGTGTGTGTGAGAGAGCAGTGTTCGTAGAAAACAACTGAAAGATGATGTGACTGTAAGTCTTTGCTCGGCCACAGCAAACCAGTGACTAATTATTGCAGGTTTTAAAGTTTGAAAGAAACAATTACTTGTTTGTTAAATGTGAAATCAAAGAATCAAACTGTAATTTTCAAATATAAAATATAAACTTTTGTTACAGGAGGCCAGAAGGGAGGGGCTGGGATACTTTTAGTACTTTTAGTTTAGATCTGTCAAAAAGCTGCCATCATTTTGCTTGTTTCCTTAACTTCCAGAGGTGAATAGAAACAAGATTATTACACTACTTTGGCAAATCCTTCACATAATCAGAAAAGAAGATGATTCAACATGCTAAATTACTTGTTACAGTGGATGTAGAAAAGGACACTCTGCTCTTGCATTCAATACATGTATCGTCACAGTATATTCTGTTCTGCGCGGACTGAATTGTTAATTTGAGGTACTGGTCAAGTGTGTGTTCTACATGGGCATGACAATGTTTCGACAACAAACAGACTTCCTCAGACCAAATTTTTCGGTTATAAAGTTATAAAAAAAGAAGAAAGAATAGTTGTCCCTTTTGTGGGTCTGGTTCTGAAGGTATGTACTATGTTTCTGATTGAATTGTTCTCTCTTTTACAGTGTCAGCAGATGGGGCTTTTCCAGCAGGAGCATGGGGAAAGAAAGAGTTTCCTGCTCCTCCTGCATTATTAAGAAAATTTGAGGGGAAAACCACAATGCATTGCACAAAATTCAAGCAAACAAATAAAAGTCTATACAATCCAAGTAGATGCCATTGTCAGGTTCATGATGCACTACAGCAGGAGAGTGAACATATTGGTCTTTTAATCAGTTTAGTAATTGGTTGAATTTGCCAGCACCCAGGAATTCAAAATGCACTGTGAGATCATTGCTGTAATGAAGTGATTTCCCACAACTTCTTAGGCATTTATGGTACTAGTATGCCTCAGAGAAAGGAGCACAAACTGAACAGTTGGAAAGATTTCTGATTAGGGTTGCCAACCAACAGCCAACCAATCAGCCAACTGTCCAGTATCTTAATCTGATCATAATGGAGTCTTGTGGTAGTTCAGGCTGCCAAAAAAGTCGATTTATTGTCACATATATTCCATATATTTCCTAGTCATGTATATCCACGTCTTATCTGTAACACTTAACTGTCTTATAAACATTTGGTGCTTATTCTAGCTGACATACACTAAGCCTAATGCTACACCACAGTCTCTGGTAGATGTGGAGGGCTTCGTGGCTTGAATCTATCTGCAGTAACTTCGGTGAAAAACAACAAACTAAGACCGGTTGCCAGTCTGTTACAGTGTAAACAGACATATATTATGGATCCAGACAAACATTCTGAGTTCATCCACAAAGGGGCCTGAAATCACAACGATTTTTGTGCTTTTAGATCACAACCCTGATCCACTGGGCATTCATTATTAGTTTGACCAATGCTTCGGAATGAACAAGTCAAATCAATTTACCAATAAGTGACCTCTGCTTGGTCATTATCTGAGGTTGGAGTTGCAGATTGATGCATGTTAGTGAACATGTTTCCAGCTAACTGAATTAACATGGCAGAGTGCATGTTGTGTCAACTTGTGCATAATCTGCCAACTGGCTTTTTAAAAAAGTGAATTGATTAAATGTCTAATCAATACACTTCTATCAATGTTAAAAAAAAAAATAAATCTCTCCATCTCATCATTAGATAGTCCCACTGGCTGCAGGAGAGGAGTCTGGGAAAACAAAGTAAACATCATGTTTTAGGAAGGACATCTCAGTATGGATCCAGCAGACGTCTTTACAACGGTCTGATCAATAGTCACTGAGGAGTGTTTAATTCAGCCCAAGCAGAAAGTGGGTAAGATGTAATAGCCACCAGTGGAACATAACAATATTAATCTATTGTAAGTAAAGTAGCTGAGTAAATGTACTTTCCATTTTATACTTTATACTTTATACTACTACTCCATTACATTTAAATGGGAAATATTCAACTTTTCATCCCAAGGGTAGTTACAAGTGATTTAACAGATTAAGATCATAAAAATCATGATCTGTTTCTGAAATATGATGGGTCGTAACAGGTTAAACAGTATATCAATGAGTCTGGCTCTTTAGTTGCTAAACACTGTGTTCACCAGTTGCTAACTTTTTATGTCTCCTATGTCATTTGGGGGAAGGTGGCATACAATGGGTTTGTTGTAGACTTTTTAAAGGACAGCATCTGCCTGCTGCATCACTCATCGCCAATGAGAGCGGTGAGATTAAGCAACAAAGTTAACCAAAACAATGAGCTGAAAGACCTTGAAATGATCCAGCCTTAGTTAAAGGACCTTAATGAGTGAGTTTTATAAAATCCTGAGTGAATTAGATTTGCTAGGAAGTGGCTGGTCTTAGCAGTGTTGATGTGTGTGGTTCAAAAACTAACCTACGGAGTAATGAGCAAAGAGTAAACCTCAACAAAAACTCTCTGGGTCAGCTGGAAGATACAGCAGGAATGTATTACACATAAGATGGAGCTGACTGACCTCCTCTTTTATAAGTTGAAACAATGCATTCTTCGTCACTAGTGAGGCAGGATAACCAGGAGTCTGTCATAATCTAAACTGCTTTACCTTGATGTAAAGTCAACAGCTTAGTCATCAAGACAAGATCTTAGTCAGAACCCCCCAAGGTCTCTGCCAAGTCCTTACAGTATAAACACATTCTCTACAAATTTTTCTCTAAACCCAAGATGACTCATCCCTGGCAAGTTTTGAGGTGTTTGAAGTTGAAAAATGACAGAAACAGGGTGTTACGCATCCCCCTATTGTTTTTACTCCCCCCTTTCTCTCTTCTTTCTCTCTTCTTTGCTCTCTCTCATTGGGGAGGATTGGTTGGTGGGCTGCCCCCATATTTAAGGTAGGCTTTAAAAACAGGCTCTCTCCCAGACAACGCAGCCTGCTGATTCCATCAGTTAACTTATTTTGCTCTTCTCTTTTTTGTTCCATTCTATGAGGATGGAGGTCTGATACTCAGTTTTTGGTTCTTTGCTTCTCTGTTCCTTTGGTGCGACAGTAGCTCAGCCTGTAAGGGACTTGGGAACTGGTTGCTGGTTCAAGTCCAGCATAGCCTCCAGGATGGGTAGTGGACTGCAAACTGAGAGGTGCCAATTTCACCTTCTTGAGCAAGGCACTTAATCTGCTTGGTAGCCGATCGCTATGGAAGAATTTCTGCACTGGGGATCAATAAAGTTTATGTTCTTCGTAGTTTAGTTATAAAGTGTTTTTTTTTTTTTGTAGTTTAGGTGGAAAAGCTCTGGGGGGTCCTACGACCCAATGTTCGGCCAGACTTTTTTGACTGTTTGTCGCTGTTTATTTTGTGGCCATAACACAGGTCTCAGGTTGGAAGGACATGATGTTCTCTAGATGGCCTAATACGTTCATCAGATCAGTTACTTATCAGGTTTTCTGACTTTTTAAACTATTTTTTATAGCCTATACTTTGTTTTGGAACAACTGTTTAACACTGAACCAATCCACGTCATTAAATATTTTCACAAAAAAAACAACAACAAAGCCTTAAAAATGCCCCCAAAGCTATAAAGGTGAATTAATATATATGTATAGATATAGATATAGATACAGATATAAGATATAGTATTTTCCCAGTGTTTTGCAGGCCGATTAATCAACATTTTATTCATAATTTCTCTGTTACGGGCCGTTGTACAGCAAGATGATGTGAAATGAAAGAAGAGCAAAAGCTGTACTGATGCAGAATATTATCACCCTGCCATTTGCACAGAAGTAGCCAGACAGCAGGTGTGACTGCGGTAAAGTAAGCAGATGTCTGTTTGAAGTGCTCACTGATCTTGCATCTGATTCTGCTCATATGAGTCAGCTGATATTTAAGTCAGTTTCTCAAAAAGCTGCCTTTATCATCTCCTGTGCGTCTTTCTGCAAAAAACTTTTGCTCTTCTCAGCTCAAGTACAATTTCTAAAGCCAGAAAACATTTCAGTTGGATGGCATCTTATATTTCTAAGGTCTTTGAGAGTAAATTAAGCTTCTATGAGTTCTATCTTTTCCATTTTTCTCTGCCGAGTTTCACTTCCAGACATATTTTTAGCAATCCACTAAATGGAAATGGAAGCCTGGGGGCTGTACTCACTGAAGTGCAGATTTTATAGCCCACTCCAAAGTCAAACCGACACTGCTCATCCATCGAGTAGTTGATGCCAGGAAGTTCAGGAAGCTGTGGCCAGTCATGTTTGAAGGGGTCATCCAAGAGACAGTCGTATGTGCTGTCAGGAAATGAAACAAGAGGTGACATTGGTGTCAAACACTGAACAGAGACTTAATTTTGGCATCCAAATAAGGACATGAAGGTATTTTTAAGTGGCCTTGAGCTTTTATTTGTCTCAGTGGTAGAGAGCGTTAACTTGAAACAGGCTTTATTAGAGACGAACCTTCATCCCTACTTCTCCTCCTTTATATGTATAGCTTATCATATTTTAGTTAGAAGCCTCCCTGTTTTCTCCCATCAAAATTCAATAGCTTTGTTAGGCTCCATCAACAGTAATGTATAATTGGTTAAAACCATCAAAGTAGAAGCAATTAGAGCAGCACAGTGGGCGTGGGTCTCATTGGAGATTTGACCATTATTGAATACTTTTATCTGAGAATTTACTGTAATTCACTGTATGTTCTGCCTGGGCCATGCAGTTACATCACACACTGGATTCAACATTTGATTTCAGCTCTAAGTGAGTTGCAACACATCCTACAATTTAGTGCTTTCTTATGCAGCTCCTAATTGTTCACTTTTTAAACATACACCACTTTGATACGTGTGAATATTTAATTTAAAGATTTAACTGAATGCTGCACAATGCTCTTTGAGAAATTGGGAAACAACTTAATTTATTTGTTTTGTTTGTTGTTATGCACATATATGTCTGGTTATAGGCAGATTTAGCTGCATGTGGCCAGATGGTGAAAATTGTCTCAGTTGCAGTAAATCTCCAAATTCTTGCCAAGGCAAGGAGCGCGTATAAACCCTGCTCAGAGTCAGAAAAGGCATACGTGCCTTTTGTTTGTGTAAAATTATTTTAAACATAAATTTCACTGCAGCAGCTGTCAAGTTTTCTCTTGACAAGACAGACAGTTTATTATCCTTCATTATCATACTGCAGAAAGACTTTTCATACCAAACAGCATATTGATTTTTCTCTACAATGGTTGCAGCTGCAGTATACTGTATGGTGATTGATTATGCATCATCTCCTTAAATACAATCTGGTTGTTTGGTGTCCATGCTCTACTGAACTTTCCGTGTCAAAAATTGATTCTTTTACAGCTGAGTGCAAAACTCGATGTCTGTGAACTGAACACAGGCCATGGATGCGTGTGCTGAGGCTCATACAGGCTCTTTCAGTGTCCTGTTTGGAGATGGCATAATGCTGTATAGGAACATATTACATGTCATCATGAGATTCAGCGACTTCAGCTGCAGGTTAATGATGATGATTTCCTCAGAATATGTACAGTAAAGTTGGTTTCCAAGACAATGAAAATGAACCTCTCTTTTCACCTCAGCTTATACCTATTCAATCATAATCTAATATACTGCAGTCATTATTTGATATCTCAAAAACTGCTCCACAGATTTTAGTAAGGCTTGGTAGAAAGTTTGACCATGGGATAAGGATGAACAGATAAAGTTAGGGTGTGGATAGCACCGCCATGTGGTCATTTATAAAGCACTTCATATTTTGGCTCCTCAGCAGTAAAGTAAAATGGAATTTCTCCCTGTTGGTTCTAAAAAAAAGTGTCAAGCATAGATCACATTTTTTTTCCTTTTAAAGCAACTTGATAAATTAATGGTCATCAGTTTGCTAAACGTATCCTTTTACAATGTTCTTATATTTCCAGGAAGGATTTAGGTATTGTTGGGTATATCTTTAAATCGATCCAGATGAAACAATTCTAAACATTTTCTGTGGTAAACATGCTCTAGAGGTATGAGTTCATTGAGTTCTTGCTAAATAAAGCAATGCCTTAAATGTCTGTGACTCTTCAACCATATTATATCCCTAATCCTTTGAGCTTTAGCCATTTAGGCTCCAGCTCTGCCATCTTTTACCACTGCTAAAATAATAAATCCCATCCCTCTCTCTTTTTTACAATATATAAAAACAGTCCCACTTCTACAAGAATTGTAGAGTATTTGTTAATGCAAACCCACATTGCTGTGACTGATAACTGCAAAAATGAACTCACTGGATGTATCTCTTCAGCTCCTGTCCGCTGCACATGGACCAGTGGTATCGATGGAAGGCCGCCTGCACCAAAGGAGCCATCACACTTCCCATCGCCGTTTCGTCCCCACAGCGGTTTCCTTGGCCGTCGTGCTCCATGCCCAACCTGCTCCCACAGGGAGAGACAAACCGTTAGTTACAAAACCGCAGGACATCGAGATAAATCCCCAAGGAGTTAAGTAAATAAGCCGTTTTCACACCATAGACTCATAATACAAAAATCTTACCTTTCAGTGACCAGAAGTGGAAACTTACCTACTAGATTTACTCAAACAATAAAAAGAGCAACTTGTGGGTCATATTTTTTATATTTTCTGAAAATGATTGAATTAATGCAGGATGTTTAACAAAATATAAGAGCACAAATTCAGAAGAGAAAGTGTCAGTTTAGTGCAAATCTCCTAAAAAAAACTTTTATTATATATATATTTCATGACATTGGAAATGTTTGATTTCTTTAATGTAATGTTTTGTTTTTTTTCTCCGAAACCTAATCATTTTAATGTTTACCTTGTCAGTCAAACAGTAGAGATTTCTCAGTAATGCACAGAATTACTGTCAACATTACCTTCATCCATTCAGAAGTGTCACATTTTAATTAGAAGATCTACTTATTCATTTGCAACATTCCTGAGCTTATAATCCAACCATATCATGCATCCCTAGTGTTTATCCCATATATCTGACCAGTCATTGCTATGTGTTCATCTACTGTGGTGGCTATACTGAAAAAATAAATCTATTCACTGGAGGAACTAAAGGACAAACACACATTCCCATCAAGCAAAACTCTCTGTACCACTGCAAAGAGAGATTTTCTGGTTTATTATTCTCTACATGCCAGTGGCTACATCATGCTGCTTTAGTAATAGAGACGACAGGTGTTGTATTTGCTCAGTTTGAGACACCACAGAAGTCAGTCCGGATGAGACATAAGGAGCAATTCATAATAGAGATAGCATTTTGAACATGAAGTTTGACCACCTTGTCATGATAAAACCATCAACATCTTACTGATGCAGGAAAGCGTTACTGTGACCTTGATGGAAACAATCACTACACCTGTTGTTATTCAGTTGGTACAGACAAAGCTCCTTGTATGACTTCCACACCTGTTTGGTTTACTTTGTTGGGACTAAGGAAAACAATGATAAATTATTGCCTTTTAGTTTTGGTCCGGTTCACCATTGCTTAAACTGGTACAAACAAAGCAAGAGGGCTTAACAGTCCACAGGTGGACAGTTTTGGTGACTGTCATCTTGCATCATCAATGCTACATGGACCTACGTGTGGAAATTAAATTCTGGTGACTGACAGCAGGTGACTTATGCTAAAACATGCCTTTTTCCATCTGCAGTAAGTGTCCTGTGTCTGCGGCCAGATGGTAGTATAGTGAAAAATGTGCTAAGGTGCCATGTGAGTGACATATCTGTTATTTAGAGGCTGGGGTTTGGGAGACCAATTCATTTGACTGCAGTTCACTCCAGCTGATGTTTTTATTTATCTGTTCTGTTGTTGTGTAGGTGTACATGTACATGACACCAAAACACTGTAGTGACCCTCACCATAGTTTCTTATTACATTAATATTTTGGTGCAAACACTTAACCCACTGGATGTGGCGGATAACCTTCCGAGATTTAATCAACAAACAGAGAATCTACCTGCGTTCGGTGCTTGGCGGGTGTTAATTTTGGACCCTGGTTACATTTAGAGTAAAACAGATGATAAAGCAGGGTATGCTTCAGGCTGTGGCTACCTTGTAATTGAGCAGTCATTCTAAGTGAGTCCATCCAGTCAAACTAGGCAGTGCTGATGAATCATGATTTCAGAAATATATTTTAGTGTACTGTTTATCTGTAATGCAAGAATGTGTGTGACCAGGCAAACGGCCATTGTTTCCTGCTAGTCGAAACCAAGAGCAGCCAATGAGCACAGCCCAACTTGCAGTACATCACCGCTGCTGGTAGAAAAAAAACCAACACAGCCTACGGCCAAAATGCCAAATTCAAGACTTCAAAAAAGTACTCCACAAACCAATGGGTGACGTCCAGAGGCTCACATTTGGTTTTACCTCCAATTCACATGGCTATTGAGGTCCTGCACCCATGTGTTGACGTGCATACACACATTATCAGAGATACCAAAGGATCTTGCATAATTATAGATGGCATATAGAGAACACCTATATGATCACTTTCTTCATAGATCCTATGATCAGCAAATGGATTTAATAGCAGTTTGCTTTGCAATTCATGCTAAAATCACATATCTACTACTTCTTTGCTTTCACACCACAAACAGGCTGCAGCAGGGTTTGTAGCTTGTTTGCACCATTAAAGAAATAAATCCATCTAACAAAGCGTTCTCATCTGTTGGCTCACATTAAATATATAATTAACAAAAACCTTATTTTTTATATATATCTTATTGTATTTCTTGACCTTTAAAATATTGGAGAAAAATGTCATTGCCACTTCATAACTTTTATTTAAACTTACTTTAACCTTAATTAGAGAGTCATTTAGGTCTCGACTTGTTTGTAACTTCCAAGTCAAGTATTCACCAATGATTTCCCCTTTTTGTGAGAAATTTTATATTTATTTATGATTTAGTTCACAGGAATGACCAACAGCGTAAATGAATACAGAAGAGAAAATACAAACCCAGAAAGGAACGGTGACTTCCCACAAAGGGTTTTGCCAATAATGATGAGTACTGAGCCGTGATAGAGATAGAGAGATTATCATGCAAAATTCAGTACTCATGAATAACAAAAAATTACTTTCAGATATGTAAAACTTCACTGAATAACTTCTCTTAAATATTAAAATGTAGGCAAGTGATGCAGTTCAACACTCAACATTCTGAGCTGTCTGTGGATTATGAGGTCCAGGCCAGAGAATCTTTACGGTCTTCTTTGCTTCAAATCTATTACAAGCACCGACTCACAGTAAGATAAAAAAAATCCAACTGAGATAACTGCAGAAACAATTGTGGAAGGCTGAAACAGCAAATAAACTATTCTTAAGATTTGTGTTTGAATCAAATGCCATCCATCATTCTTGTTTTTAAGCATTCCCTTGGAAATTTTGTGACTAGTAGACAGTAGACAGTGGAGAGATGATTGGAAATGGGATGAGAGAGACGGGGAGTGACATGCAACAAAGGTCACCATGATGGACAATGTGTAATAATGCTCAACCATGAATTATTGAGGTTTAATTTGTTGTTAGCTAGTTTTCTGGAGTAATTGCTGCATCCTTTTCTTGTTGTTTGGCAACCAAAGGCATTTAGTGTATGCGTGGCCTGTTAGGCGCTGGTACGGCCATAAAGCTTAATAGTCATTAATTCCATAGAGCAACCAACAAATGATTTTACCAGAACCACCTGAGCAGTGACATCTACCAAAGCAAACCACAACCCATCCTTCTTTAACTGCCACACTGCAGTGCATCCAGAAATCATATTAAGGTGTTATTAGGATTTTATAGGAGGACTTAAAGTACTTGACTTAAGGAACAGAAAATCGGGACAAAGACGAATATTTTCAAAATGTTTGACGAAGAAACTCAACGGGGGACAGTTTATGGTTCCAGTGATTTCAACCATATTACACAGATCCTAAGTGTATTTATAAAATATAATGACTACAGAGCTCACATGTCAACATATCCAACTCCATGGCAACTGAGCAATTACATTTGCTGATGACGATGTGGTTGAAAATTTCAGAAAAGGCTAGTTAGTGGACCTGAAGTTGGGGCAAAACACTATTTCCAAGGTCAAAAATAAACTTTCAAACTTCAAAATATTATTATAAAACAGAGATTAAGCATTAATAATGTATAACAAGATCAATACCCGCAACTTTGAAATGAAGGAGTTTCCAATGAATTTCTTGATGTTTTGTATAACTTTGATGAAAAGGTGCCTCACAGATTTTAGAAGATAAAACCTACAGAAGAGTATTTCAAATTGATTCTACAGAAACTATGTTACAAACCGTGGAAGATATCTATGTACGGTTATAGCGCCTTTCTAGTCTTCCGACCACTCAAAGCACTTTTGCACTACCCTTTCACACACATTCACTCAGTGATGGCAAAGGGCATCAAAGAGAAACTAACTCATTCATTCACATTCACACACCGATGCAAAGCATCAGGAGCAATTTGGGGATTCAGTATCTTGCTCAAGGATACTTCAACATGTGGCAGGAGGAGCTGGGGATCGAACCAACAACCTTCCGATTAGTGGAGAACCCGCTCTTGCCCACACAGAGCACTGATACCTGCTGCTGGCAAGTTTGAGAGAATAAACATTTTCTAATTTATCAAAATGTAACTGGACTCAACAGACTTAGTCTTAGGTAAATTGTAAAGGCCATTAATGTAACTGTTATTAATACCTGACAATTTACAATACACTGCCTTAAACGGTAATTTCTTTCACCATATGGTGTTCCTTTGGGCTTTAGCAATCATTACATTACATAAGACGCCTTTTTTACTGCTCATTGTCCCCCATCGTTGCTGTTGTCGTCGTCATCATCTTCTTCATGATCATCATCGTCAGTCACTACTATTAGTGTAGTTGTTGCTACTGTTGTTGCTTATAATAATTGGAAAAACATTTTGGATTATTAAGGATGCATTCATTGTTGTTCTCAAACAATACTGTTTGAGAAAAAAAATACTGAACTGAGAAAAAGAAGAAGCTGATGTGTCCAGTATGCACTGCTGTACATCCTGTACTGCCCTTGCTTTCAGTGAGAGGTCATGTTGTGCTAACATACAAATAGCATCAATATATACTTGTGTCAGCATGTTGAGGCGTCGATACTGTGTTTTCCATTGTCACCAACACAAATTCCTATTCAGTTATTTTTAGAAATGCACGGAATGTTGAAGCAGTTCTGCAGCTGTGGTATCAGCTTGTGAAATTGTTGTTGATGTGCATTTTGTTTTGTAATGCAAATTTCCATCAGAAATGAGAAAATAATTTTAATAAAAAGCATACTTTACTCAGACACTTTATTCATGGTTTCTTAAAAAAATATATAAAAACCAGATGATAAAATGGGGTTGTAGCAGGAAGGCAGACG